CCCCAGAAAAGGGGAAAACCCCCTTCCCAAGTGAAGTTGGGAAAATGGAAGGCCCCCCCCCCCCCCGCAATCTGGCCCACCCCCTTGCACCCCTCCCACTATACGTACCCTTTTGTGAATGATCCTTCCCCTCCACAGTAAGGGTGTACTATCTGTACTCCATATTGCTTTGTAGTGTAGCCCTATGCTATGGATTTGTAATTTCACTTGCAAACGGCAAGCACTCATTGGTCAATGAGAAGGGCTTCTGACTGCGCTGACCTATGAGAAGCACTTTTCATTGGTCAGAATGGTAAGGTGACTGTGCTAAACAACGAGTACTTCCCATTTGTGAGCGCAGTTCAAAATCCATAGCACAGGGCTACACTACACAGCAATATGGGATACAGATAGTACACTCTTACCGGTGGGGAAGGAGCGTTTTGCGAGAGGTAAGGGGGGTATAGGGGGACAGATGAGGGGGGGTAATTCCATTTCCACAAATTCAATTGGGAATGTCAACTTACCCATTAATGAGGCAGTCGAAGGCTGGTGCCTCAGGCGGAAATGTTTTGGGTCATGTGGGGAGGGGCGACAGGTTGCTAGAAGCCAAGTGGGGTGATGTGTACGGGCCATACACATCTCCCTGCCTAGCTTTTAGCAACCTGGGACTCTCTGGCCGGCGTCTCGCCCAGCTCCTGGCAACCAGTGACATTACTGGTTGCCAGGATCTGAGTGAGACGCTGAGCTGGAGGAGGGGATGTAAAGCTTAGAGAGGGCACAGTCACTCCACCACCACCTAAACAACCCCCTCCCTGGCCACTTCCAGCCGAAAAAAGGCTAAGAACACCACTGCTTGCAACTCCTCCTTTTTGCCACTGGATGTCCTTAGTCTTCTGGCTTAAATGGCAGTCAGCATCATTCATCCAACTTCAAAAGAGCTCAGACTCTCATTGTCTTATCACACAGTGTGGGTTTAGAACACAACTGCAATGAATGGCGTTCATTATGTGAGCACTGTTCAGTGCAGCAAAAAGAAACACCACCCCAGTGACACTGGAAGAGAAGAGAAAGGACCTGTGACATCATTAGACCCACCCGAAGACCCTTGGAATGGGTCACAGGTTGACATAACTACTGAAGGCACTCTGTTCATCGGCATAGCATCCGGCTGCTTTGTGTGTTCTAGCTTCTCCTGTTACCTTGTCATTAATATAAAATAAACCAGAGATATTGGGAGCCCATAATACTCAAAGCAGGTGTGCAGGCCCGGGAACTCGGGAACTCAGCACGGAGCACAGGGA